AATCTCAACTGCTACTAAAAAAACTCCCAAACTCCAAAAGACGTACTAAGAAAACCATCAGCTGAATCCAAACATTGCTCTAAAAAACACCAAACAAGGCAAACAAATAATGAGATGAACAGAAAGAAATGATCCAAATGGGAGACAACCAACCCAACAATGCCAATAATGACACGAACCGACGATGCCTTAAAAGCTAATAAAGTGGCAGATATGACTAAAGCACCCAGCAAGGAAAACCCGGCCCTGCGCTATGCACAGGGGTCCCATCTGAAAGACGGCAAAGGCTGGAAGGAGCAGGCGGAAGGAAACGCCAGGCAAGGGTTACACAGAGCTGGGATGGCTGCATGGGGATCGGGGAAAAAGGACTTTAAGAGAAGAGGTGTCATCAGAGACAGGGAGGCCTTTCCACAACGACTGGATGACCACTAGCGAGGGAGTCACAGCAATAATCAATATATATCACGATCACCCTGTTGTTCGTCGATTTCCTCAAGCAGGCACCAGTAACGTCTCCTTCTTCCTAGCCCTGAGATTTTAAAAGAGCCATTTCAATGCTCTTTCAGGATTAGGAGAAAGAGACCCATCATTGTTACTGGTATTTGGCTTATTGAGAACGACACGGGAAGTTTGCCAGACTCTGCCGTGCAGGCAGGATACTTTTGGTAGCCTGCCAGGTTCTCCAAAGGAAAAATAAGATAAGATGTTGCACGGCTGCGAATGCGGCCGCGCGCTTCCGGGAGCTGGGTTTTTATAGTCTCTGTGTCTTGACCGTTGATGGGACCAAGCTGGCGCTGGCGGCAGCTGGTGGGTGTGACGCCTACCTACTGGAAGATGGAGGGGCTGGTTGGAGAAGGCCCAGTCCCAATCTGAGTAGGCTTGGAGACCTCAGCCCTGGGACCCACATGCCTGGGTTCCTCTGCCAGTTCTTTCATGCATGAGGCTTGTCCGGACGTGTGGAGAGTGGTTCCAGCATGGCCGTGGCTGGCTCTGGAGGTCCTCAGCTGCTGGGGCACTGCTCGGGGCGGGGGTGGGGGGGAGAGAAACTCAACCCTCCCCTCTCCAAGGGGCCCCGGTGAGGACAGCCAGGCTTGGGGGCAGAAGATCAATACATATGTACCACACAATACTGTCAGAATGAAGGAGGTCTGCCTTTCCTTAAGGATGGCAACAGTACACGCATTCCTCTCTCGAAGACCCCCCAGCTCCCATGAGAAAACCTTCTCCAGCAGCTATGAACTACGGGTGAAGCTCCTCCCTGCTTCTAGGAACCATCCTCCCCTCTGACCATGCAGGTAAGTGAGGACTCCCTGCTGTTGTTTATTTATTTTTTGTTTTTTGGGTCACATCCGGTGATGCTCAGGGGTTCCTCCTGGCTGTGAACTCAGCAATTATTCCTGGCGGTGCTTTGGGGGACCATATGGGATGCTGGAAATCGAACTCGGTTTGGCCGCGTGCAAGGCAAACACCCTACCCACTGGACTATCGCTCCAGTCCCTCCCTGCCATCATTAATCATCTCTTTTGGCTTCCTTGAATCCTGCGTATTCTTTTGAACACAGTTCCACTGAATTCTCCAGTTACCTGGGTGATCTGCCCTCTGATTCCCAACGCACCTTGGCCAACAAAAGACCCAAACGCCTCTGCCTTTCAACTTCACTCAAGTTAAAAGAACTCGGGGTTACAGCTGGGTATTTGCTGTCCCCACTAAAGAACTACATTTCTCAGTATGCCCCATGGCACACGAGGAAGCCATGTGACCTAAACTCCAAAGCACTGCAGTGTAACCGGAAGGGGTGCCTAAAATGTCCTGGAAGGCTCAGTATCTGGGAAAGTTTGTACTTTTCACTCCCTCCCCCATCCCCTCCCCCCACCCTCCCGGCTCCTCCTCTTACCCTCCAATTCAGTTGGGGAACTGTGGATGTGACACGTGAAGATCACTAGCTGGCTGGTGGGTTTAAAAACTGAAGTCCTGGGAATCAAATCCAGGATCTCACACGTGCAAGGCAAACGATCCATCACTGACCTCTATCTCGGGCCTTCTAAGCCCTACATTTAGACAGCAGGAAGACGTCAATGAGAGAAGCACTTTACTTATGGACAGGCTGAGTAGCAGCGACGCCCCCTGACTCACAGACAGGTCTGGGTTGGGGCAGGGCTGTTGACTGATGAGGAGTAAGGCACCTGGGATGGAAAGGGACAGCGACCCAGCAGTGCCTGGGGGCCAGCTCTCAGGAAAAAGTGAATGCCTGGACTCGCCAGTCCCTTGGGGCAGTTCTGGTGAGGAGCTGGGGGCTCTCTGGAGAAGGTGGGAGTATGAGAGGACATTGGGGCTGACTTCTGCAAGTCTAACTGGGCGACAGTCAAAGGAGGATGGTGGATAGGCCCCCAGCAGGGCTGGGCATGTGGAATCCCAGAGATGTTCTCTGTGGCACAGCCCGTGCGGAGGAACGTGACTTTGGTGCTGGAATGGGAACAGACGGTGTGGAGGCTCTGTGTCAGAGCAAAGAGCCCACCAGGATCGTGTGGGGGCAGCACAGGCCAAGCAAGCGAAGCCGAGAAACCCCTCCCCCACCACTCCTCTCTGGCAGTCTGATGTCAGATGAAAAGGTCATATGGAAACAGAGCCCTCTTGCAGAACAGGCTCAGGAGCGGAGTGAGACGTGGTGCCTCTGGGGTGAAGGGACCGGGGCAGCCTTCCCCTCAGGCAATGCATGCAGTGTCCTCCTCTGGGCTGTCCGTCCTGCCTGGTCCTTCCCATGCAGTTCCTCTGGAGAGCCCTGAGCGCCCTGATACAGTTCATGGTGAGCTCCGGGCTCCTCACGCAGAGCTGGGCGCGGGGCAGCCCCGGAGCCGGGAAACTAGCCACAACCGTGGCCGTCAAACCAGAGGAGGTGCTCGGGATCCGGGCCGGCTTATCGGGCAGAAACAAAACTACCGATGGAGCTGCTGGGGCCGAACGGACGGGGCAGAGAGGAAGTGAGAGCTGACACGGAAGCCTGGGCCCAGAGCAGGACTGAGAGCAGCAACCCCTCAGCTGAGAGTCCAAAGTGGATGCCTTTCTGCTGGGCTCAGCTCCCTGGGGCCAGAGGCGACGGGGACTGGGGCAGAGAGGGGACCACATGGGGTCATGGGGTCATTCTCTTCCGCCCGGCCCTGCCCTACAGGCCAAGCCCCAGGTGCTGACATCCTGACAAGACGTCACCAGCTCCCCCACCCCAGGGCAGGGAAGAGCAAAGGCTGGAGGAGGTCACAGGCCAGACTGAGGTGCGGGCACACCCAGGATCAAAACTCTGCCTCTCTGTCTCTGCTTATCATGGACACGCGGGCTCTGCAGATGCCCCGAGAAGACGGCCCCAGGACCCGACCAAGCGGAGCACATGTCCCGAGCACTGCACAACAAGGTGGCCGTCTTTGGGACACGCATAAAACACGGAGAACTGGCTCCCACCGTGGTGATGACTCTCTATATCTCTCTCTCTTGTTTAATTAGGGGCTTTCCCCTGCCACAATGGACACCGGGGAGTTCCTTCCCTGACTCTCGGTGGGTACAAGATCAAGGAAGACAAAGATGCGTTTAGCCTAAGAACCCCCCCCAAGTCTGTATCTTTATTCTAGTGGTGGGGGAGCTCCTGCGCCGTGTCCAGGGGGCCTGAGGAAGGGGGTCACTCCTGGTGGCACTTTCTACTCAGGTGGCAGTTCAGTGCTGGGCCCTATGGGATGCTGTACAGCATGGGCTGTGCAGTGCTAGGGACCCCCAGGGCTACCCCTGGGATGCTTGGGGGCCACCAGGGCCATATTTGATGATAACCAAGCCAGGAGCTTCTGGGGCTGGCTGCCGTGTTGAGGGCCAGCAACGCAAACGCTCTAACCACTGAACTATCTCCCAACAACCCAGCCTGTCCCTTTAGGCTCTTGGAAACCTGAAGACATGGAGACTTAAAGCCTGGGGTAGTTCTGGGCAGTGAGGAAGGTGAGTCTAAACTCTATGCGTTGCATTCCGAAGATTCTGATGCAGGCACCATGATCTACAATAGAGTCAAGGTCAATGTTTTAGGGAGAGAGAGTTGTTACACCACCTCGGCCCTCCACGTGATCTCGAGGTGTCCACGCGCCCTTGCAGCTGGTGTAGGCTCAGCCCTTCAGCCAACTCTCAGAGTCTGGGACGGGTGGGCCTTTGTCTATCCCCTTGCTACGCGTCTGGACACTCCAGGCCAGAGAGAGACCGCTTGGTGTTTGTCCCTCTGCATTTCTTAACTCTGGAGAGCTGCAACTTCTCCCAAGAGTCACTGAGGAGCTAATGCTGACATGTACCTGGCCTGTGGTACCGTTGGTTTAGGTCTTCACGTGACAAATGAATGGGAGACTGTAAACGACCTGGCCGGAGGACGGGTAAAAGGAAACCAAAGTTTACAAACTGACGGATTAATGTCACACAGCACATACCTCGATGGACATCTCATGCGGAAACGCCCCATGCAACGACGTGAGGGCACATGACCATCCTAGCTGGTTTCTCAGGCACAGACGATATACTATCAGAGGCACAGACCTGTCACTTAATAAGGGAGATTCACAGCAAGCACATCTTGAGAAATCCTGAACGTTTGGGAACGTGCTCCTGCCAAAGTGCTCTGAGACAGGCTTAGGCTGGGAAGCCCGCACGCTGCTGGCGACTGCTGCTTTCTACGAATCTGTGGTTCTTGTCTGGGTCCAGCTGGATGTCTAGCATCGTCCTGATTTTACCTACAAAGTGCCAAGACCAGCAACAACCCCCACTGCTGCCCGACCCCCAATTCGAGCAATGAAAACTCTTTCCAAAGGTGCCAAATCAGCTGAAAGGAGCAAATCACACCAAGCTGAGAACCGCGGGCCTGCAGAAGCTTTCTCTTTAAAACCATGCAGTGAAGGAGCATTCGGGAACTGAGACCGAGGGTGAAGGGTCTCGGTACATTTTCCAAGGGATGTTGATGTGCGAATAAGAAAAAAAAATACACTCACTGTGTACGAGAAAGCAGAAGTCTTTCCACATCAGCAGCAGAGTGAGTTTCGTGAAGCCTTCCGCATCGTACTCCACGACGCCTCTAAGTAATACGAACAACAAACAAACAAAACTTATAAAAATCAGGTCTGACGAAGAGGGACGCACGTGAAGGAGGTAGTCACGGGGCTGGAGTTGCCGGAGGGAAGAGTTTCGAGACTGAAGTCCCAGCTCTGCCTTCTGACGTCTCTGCGGGCGAAAACTTGGAGCCTCAGTTTCCTCATCATTCCTGTCTACAAACTCTGACAATGGGATTTTCGAACTTCATTGTGGGGTTGTCAAAAGCAAGTGAAAAAAAAAAACCCATAAAATTTTATGTATCAGTTACCGGTTCTGCAAAGGATGACAAATGAAGACATGAAGGCCGCGATGATGCCAGCCTGGTACACATCTTAGGCACTGAACAGCGACAGTGTCCCCAAGCTCCCTCCAAAGTCCTTGGAATTCCTTTGCTGGGCTTCTCCTCTCTTCCCTGCTGGGTGCAGTTAGCGGGTGCGCTGGGTTCAGCGGGGAGCAGCAGGGACCCTGACATGTTGTGGGCCAGGAAGGTTCTGGGAGGCCTGTCATGGCCGTGGGGGACAGGTACAAAGTTCTTGACCATCCAGGCTCGAGGCCTTTCCCAGCCTCAGTCTCCCCTGCTGAGCTGTCCAGGCTAACTGCAGCACCGACGCCCTCCTCCCGGGTCAAGTGGGGAGGGCTCAGGTGCCAAGGGACCGACGGCTACGCTAGTCACTCCAAGTCCCCACTCAGGTCTTAGGACTTAAGCCGGCAGTGTTGGACACTGGGCTTTGTTTCTTTTCGTGAGTTCTAACTAGCCCAGTAAGCTTGAACATGGATTGCTAAGCTTTTCAGCTCCGGTGTCTGAAGAGATAAAAACTGAGCAAGAGACTCTGGTCCATGGAACATACCGCATGTGACAAGAGCACCGAGGTACAACTTAGCAGGGTTACTACTGTTACTGGATTCTAGGAGCCAACCAAACGCGTGCATTATAAAGAATGAGACGGGAAAACGTGTGGATGCAATCTTCATGTTTTTTCCTGAAGGCCCATGAAGAGTGTGTGTGTGTGTGTGTGTGTGTGTGTGTGTGAGAGAGAGAGAGAGAGAGAGAGAGAGAGAGAGAGAGAGAGAGAGAGAGAGAGAGAGAGAGAGAGAGACACCCCGAGGAGTCATCTTCATTCAGTTCTGTGTAGTAGTAAGGAGAACCTCGCCCAAACACGGAGAGACCAGTCATGCCATTTATTTATTAACCGCTGTCTGTAACGCCAGCGCTTTCTAAAAACGGTCATAAAGCTGAACAAATTTCAAGTCTCCGGGACTCACGTGAGAGACAGTCATGTTGTTTGGATATCGACACTCCTATTTTGGAGGCGTGAAAAATTCCACTACGGGTAACAAGACACTTCCTGAAGTTGTTTTGAGGAGTCAAGAAATTTTGCTCAGAATTATGCCAGGCGTGTAAAATGATCTCCCGGGGACGGCCAAGCTCTCTCTCGGTTATATCCTCTCCTTCCCGGGCCCCCTGTCCGTTCATTCCGAGTTCCTCAGTTGTCTCAGACCTGAAGTTGGCATGACCGTCAGTACAGCCTCTGTTTACAAACCTTCCCTGCAATGGGGGGATACAGCCAGCCCTCCAAAAGGTGGTGTGCCGAGCCCTCCTGTGGGAAGAAGCCTCCCCCTTTTCTCAACTGTGTGGAGGAAAGCACACACCCCTTTTCTGCCTAAGTGGACCCCCACGTGGAAGCTAGAGAGGGCCGCAGCTTCACTCAGGCCCACCGGCCACAGCAGAGACACAGTCCCTGACAGGGCCTGACCGCTCTGGAGTCTAACGCTCAATTTTCACCTCAATGCTTCAGGGTGCCTTTTTTTTTTCTTTCTGGGTCACACCCGGCGATGCACAGGGGTTGCTCCTGGCTCTGCACCTCGCACTCAGGAATTACCCCCGGCGGTGCTCGGGGGATGATATGGGATGCTGGGGAATCGAACCTGGGTCGGCTGCGAGCAAGGCAAAGGCCCTACCTGCTCTGCCATTGCTTCAGCCCCATCAGGGTGCTCCTTGAGAGAGGGAGCCCTAAGCGACAGAACTGCCCAGAGTCCAGGCTGGCCTGGGGCTCCCTGGGGCCCCTGAACGTTCAGGGGCTCTCCTCAGGAAAGCATAAGGTGAAGGGGTCCAGGCGCCGGGCGCTCCTCCTCGCACACCAGGGAGGGTGGGGTGGCAGCTCGAGGGAAGAGAGTCGCTTCTAGGATTGGCTAGAGAAGGATTTGAAAAACATCCTCCTGGGCGCTGCAGTACAAGCCACGCGGCAAAAGGAACCAAAATGGCACCGAGAAAGTTTTATATGTAAGAACTAACCGTCATTTCTTTTTTCTCTGGTGGTGGTGGGGGGCTGAGAGGGGTTTGGGGGTGCTGGGAAAATTCCGGGTGGCGCTTGGGGGCCACACCCAGTGGAGCTGTAGGTGGGCTTGAGGTGCCAGTGATGAACTCGGGGCCTCCCCTGCTCCTGCCCCAGGTACTCGATCCTTAGCCCCTCCCAGCCAGAAAGCAAGGGCACTGTGACACACAGGGTTTAGACAAAGAGGAACTTACGTGCCAAAGTGGCTGAGGAAAGCGGCGACATACTCTCTTCTCTTGTGGTAGCCCTGGATCACGTACTGTACCTGCAACGGGAACCGCAGGCTGAGAAGTGGGGTGGAAAATATTTAAATTATTTATGAAGACAAAAACATTCACTCCAACGGAAATGTGCACACCGTGTTCACCTCCGCACTTAGTACAACAGCCAAGACACGGAGATGAGCCACATGCCAGCTACTGAAGAGTGAAGCAAGAGGTTGTGGTCTAGATACACAATGGAATACTATGCAGCTCTGAGAAAGGACAAAAGCATGCAATTTGCAGTGACATGGATGGAACTAAAGGACAGCACACTGATGTCAGTCAGAAGGAAAGGGACAGATACTGAACGACTTATCTCATATGTGGGACTTAAAGACACAAAGCAAGGGAGTGATGGAGAAGGTTCAAAGGCAACATCAGGGGAGAACTGATCTACACAGTTGATGCTGGGAGCCTTGGGTGAGATAGAAGGTACACAGGTGATGGGTGTGGTGTTGGAATTATATGCATGAGAAGCCATAATTTACAGCACTGTAAGTTACAGAATCTCAATGAAAAAAAAAAAGACATGATGAAAAATATCTCAAAGACTCAGAGAAGCAGGAAAACTAGTAAATCGAACAGCCTGATCCTGCCACCTTCACTCAGTAAATATAAATCGTTGGCTTTAGCTAGCAGTCTACCCGTGTTATCAGCCCACTAATCCTGTTAGAATGTCTCAAGTCAGAGAGATGGTGGCCGGATGGTGGCAACCCTCAACACTTCTTCGTGTCCCTCCAAAGCCAAGACACTGCTCCATGGAACTATTCTATGTAAGCACAGCGCCTTCTCCGTACCCAACGCAGTCAGTGATCATTCTCGGAATCCACGTAGGACCCTGTCCATTTTTAAGAACGACTCCATGGCCTCCCCAGGTTTCTGTGTTTTTACTTTTTAGTCCACAGTTCATTTACGTGTGTGTGTGGGGAGGTGGCTTGGGCTGCATCCAGAGGGGCTCAGGGCTTATCCCTGGCTCTGCACTCGGGATCATTCCTGGAGAGCTCGGGGAACCATATGGGGTGTCGGGGATTGAACCTGGGCTGGCGTGGGCTAGGCGAACGCCCTGTCCATTGTACGATCACTCCAGCCCAGGTGTTTGTGTTTTTAAAGCAGGGTAGAATGAGGGAGTAGGCGCTGGATCTAGAAAATCTTCTGTTCCTTGATTTGTCTTCATCTTCTTTTTCTGTGGTGCCAAGGAGTGACACAGGGCCGCACGCATGCAAGGCAGGGGCTCTTCCACTCATCCTAGCCAGGACTCTCATTTTGTGTGGGGGCTGGCGGAGGAACCCGGGGCCTCCCACACGCAAGGTACACAAAGTGTGTGTCCTCTCCCTGTGATGTCCTGGCCTAGAACACCCTCCACGGCAGGTACCAGCACCTGTGGGGTCTGTTACGAGTGCGGCCGCTGATACCAAGAGAGTGACGTTTCGCCACTTTCTTTCGTTTGAGGGTCTCTGCTGCTTCCTTCTTGTTCCCTTGATCCTCTGTGTTTTCTGAAAGTTGGAAGTTTAGACCTCAGGGTATGAGTTGACGGGTTTGGGACTTCTGAAAAGTGACACGGTATTTGCCCAGGGGATCAAGCCACGAGAGCTGGCCACTCCAACAGAGAGGGCTCTTTGCTCCTCACCAGGGCAGACATCCAGGGGGGCACAGTGAACCACAGGAGGGGCTGGTTCCCAACAGACTTCTGTAGAGCAGCCTGAGTCTGCGAGAGCCTTGCTTGGATCCATGATTTCATCAAACCCCCCAGAAAACGGTGATTGTGAAAATTCTATCAGTCCTTCTGCATTTAGCAGAGGAAACTCTTTTTTTAAAAAAAGACGAGCTTCCTCTCTGCAGCTGGGGTCATTTGGCTACCTTGAACTACAGCTCCCAGCAATGGCACCGTGAGGTTTTAACTCCTTCTCCTAAATCCCTAGTGTTCAGAGTCAGGAGTGTCACAGAGGGGCCCTGATTTTGCACTTTCACATTTCCCCTTGATGTCACCATGTGTATCTATCAGAGAAGTGACCTAATGGGGCCGGAGAGATCGCACAGGGGTAGGGCATTTGCCTTGCATGCAGCTGATCTGGGTTCAAATCCTGCCACCTCCGTGGGTCCCCCGAGCACCACTGGGAAACCCTGAGCATCACTGGGTGTGGACCAACTCCTCCTCCCCCCGCAAATGACCTTCTAAGCCAGGCATCTGGAAGTTAATCATTAGCCCAACAATTTTTTTCTTCTTTTTATTTTTATTTTTCAAGCTGGGAGGTGGCTCCTGGCAGTGTTTTCAGCCTGGCAGCTCTGCCGAGCGCGTCCTCCAGACCCGCCAAACCCCCACAAAGCTCCCCCCCAACGATTTCTAACACAAAATATACATTCCTTACGGTGTCCTCACACTGACTCCCCCAAACTGTTTCTGCTGGCGACAGCCACACTGTGGTCCCCTACCTAACAAAAATCTGAGATAAAGTGAGCGAAAATCTTGACACAGTTGGTACTCAGAGCTCTGCAATAGCCTTTCAAAGTAAAACAAATCTATTTATATAATAGGGGCTTATGTCAATTTATAAAAACAGTGCTCACTTTGCACGCTTGATGCAGGACCAAAAATGTTATTTTGGGAAAAGAAACACAGATGATAAGTTTGCTTAAGTGGCTTTGTTTAAAAAGGGGATGAAAACAGTTCTGTATACTTGATTTTAAAAACAGAAAACCATTTTAACAGTAACCCACAACAAAACTGGCTATAAAGATAGATTCCAATGCAATTATGGAAATTCATTTGAAGAGATTGTTTCTAAACGCAGCCCATACTGTTCTCATTTGGAGCACAGAGAAGAACATCAATTTTAAAAGACAAGCAAAATTAATGAAAGGAACTAGATAAGAAAAAAATGATTCTTGTATTTCTGGGAAAATGATATTATACTTTTTTTTTTGGACTAGAAATTAATCTCAATTTGGAGAGCTTTGGAAAGGCTTTTTTTTTCTTCCTGGTTCTAGAAGATCTAATCTGATTTTTTTTTCCCCCTACGTAGCAGTGGGATGCAGATTTGAAGGTAGTGCAAAGTCCCGCATGTAAATACGAATTTTATCCTCTGATGAGTTAGGAAGGAGGGCAAAAGCTGGAGAAATCAGTCCAAATGAGAAGCGACCATTCCAGAAAGCCAGCTCCCTGGAGACCTGCCAAGCCAAGGCTCAAAGGGCTGGATTTGTTTCCTGGCATTTGAAAAATAATACTAAAGGCTCTGCAACTTTATTTTAAAAATGCTTATTTAAAATTTATTTAAACATCTAAAAACTATTTAAATATTTAAAATTAGTTCCTATATAGATGAGCTATCTTCTTTATAATGAAAGTGATAAAAGACACATCCCCCCCCTCCACACACACACTACCACACACACACCACCACACACACACACACACACACACACACGCACACACCGGGGGATTAAGAAACTGAGTCAGTCCCTGAGGAGGAAGAGAGGAAGTCTGTGGCCCAGTGCACTGGGAGTGCTGGCTTTTAGCTAAATCTGCTCGCTGGACAATGATAACTAAACTCTGGAGAAAGAACTGATGATCGCCATCAAAGGAAAGGTTGCCACCTGCCAATTCATGTCTCGTGAGCACAGGTCAGAGGAAGGTCGGGCTACTTGCATGTGCCTTGGGCGAGGCTGGGGCACTCTGAAATCTGGCTTTACGGAGTGGGGCTCTGTGGAATGACTCTAGAACTCTGAACAAGTGTGGCCTTGGAAAGAAGGCAGAGATGAAGGCCGTTTTAGAGACTCCCCCTGGGATCAACTTCAGGCAAGTATGCATGCGCATGCAAACACGCAAACACACACACACGCAAACACACACACACACACACACACACACACTCACTCACTCACTCACACAGGCACCACCCAGACAATGGGCAAAGGCCAGAATTTCAAACCCCCCATGGGTGCGAAACATCTAGCAAAATCTTTTGGAAAAGCCTTTTGGAAATTCAAAACCGGACAGTGTTTAAATATCCACACAGAAATGTGAAACATGAAGAAAAAGGGGAGGGGAGTCAGAGTCCTTTGGAAGGGAAGTGGGGTGGAGGGGGAGGAGGGACGGGGAGGGGGGCGGGAGATTGCCGAGCTCTGCTTCAGAGTGGGGCAGGCCGGGGGGGGGCAGGCAGAGAACCCTGTGGGAGAGCACTGTTCTGGGAGCACTGGCCCCCCTCTCACCCCACGCCCAGGTTGAAGGGACAGAGCCTGGCTTTTACCTTGTTGGTGAGCAGGTGACACACTTGAGGCACGTAGTCGATGAGGCAGCCTCCTCCTGGGAAGGCAGGGATGTGAAGGGCCGAGGAGCCTCCGAGGGCACTGCAAGGACAAGAGGACACGTCACACCTCAGGGATCAGCCACGTAAGCAGGGAGACCCGGACGCCCACCAGCGACCTGCTTCCAGGTCTGTCCACCCCCTTTTGTCATCCGGGACTAACAACGAGTGATAATAACAAGCAACGGTCTTGCTACACAACAGTGCAGTGGAGGCCACGGGCCACAGTCTTGGCGACAACCACGGGTGGCTGTCGGTTGTGCTTACACTCTTCATGATGCCCCATGAGTGAGCACTGAGCCAGCCATGCAATACCATTACGGGACGAAACCAAGTTACTGTGAAACTGTCAAGGTGCTTCATCTCCCGGGGCTGCAGTTCCCTCGCTTTCAGCATGAGGCCAGTGGCCCAAAAGGTCTGAGCTCCAGGAAACACCCAGGCCAGGCAGCTGGTGTGATATGTGAGCAGAGAGAAGCAGGGGGGTGGGTGGGGATTCCCCCATAAATAAGACTGCCCTGCTCTTGCCTGGTTATCTTTTGTTCAAGTGGAAATTCCATATTATTTAATCTCTCCATTTTTAAGCACTTTCTTCTGTTCTTGTTCTCGGGCCACGCCACACCCAGCAGTGCTCAGGGGTTCCTTCTGGTTCTCCACTCAGGAATGACTCCTGGCGGGCAAAGGGAACCATATAGGATGCCTGGGATCGAACCCAGGTTGGCCATGTGCAAGGCCAACACCCTACCTGCTCTACAATCTCTCTGGTCCTAATCTCTCCACTTTTATTTTATTTTTATTTTTATTTTTATGTAGGAGTACTGCTATTTATTCAGCCACTGATTAGCTGATTGAATTGTGCATGAACTCCACCTTACTTTTTTTTTTCATTTTTTATAATTGTATTTATTGAATCACCATGAGAGCAGTTACAATGCTTTCGGGTTACGAAGTCTCGGTCATACAATGAAACACCCGTACCTTCACCAGTGCCCATTCTCCACCCCCCAAAACCCCAGTATACCCCCATTCCACACCCTCCCCCTACCTGTGGGGCAGACGATTTCCACATTACTCTCTCTCTCTACTTTGATCACATTCAATATTTCGACACCAGACCCACCATTATTATTTGAGATTTTACCCCAACACTCAGATCTGCTGAAAAGGCAACAGTAGACAATTTGTGTTCTATTGCTGGTTATGAATAACATATGATGTCGCGTGGCTGCAGTAGGGCCATGTGATTTTGAAATTCCGAAATTTTAACACTTAAATCTGGAGGGATTTCTGCCAAAAGCCACTGGGTTTTGAGATCTGCTCCTGAGTCTCTGGGATCATGGTCATTGAGCAGCTTGATCAGGAGCCAGAGAGGCCGTTCGTGGGCGATGACTTGGGGTCTCGTTGGGGTGGGGAGGACAGGCCCGGCTCCACCCCCATCCTGTGAGGCCCAACAAGTTTTGTCACTGCGGGCCCAGACCTGATTGTCCAATGGCCTCTGGAGGATGAGGGCCACTGAGCCGCCAGGGGAAGCAGGTGGAGTGACAACACCTTTTCCCCCCTGGGGTGGCCTGGCGACAGTAACCTACAGCGGGGTCTGTATGCATTTCGGCCAGGGTTTAGAGATTTGTTTCTGAGTCTCTAGGATCATGTCCGTTAAGCAGCTTGATCAGGAGCCAGAGAGGCTGTTCGTGGGTGATGACTTGGGGTCTCGTTGGGGTGGGGAGGACAGGCCCGGCTCCCGTCCCCCGCCCCCATCCTGTGAGGCCCAACAAGTTTCGTCACTGCGGGCCCAAGCCTGACTGTCCAACGGCCTCTGGAGGCTAATCTCTCCACTTTTAAATGGTGGCAATTAAACATGATCTGAAATGGTTCCACATCTACAGGTCCATGTGGATAGGAATTCTGCTCCTAGCCTATAATAGCACAGCGGGTAGGGCATTTGCGTTGCACACGGCCGACCTGGGTTCGATTCTTCCATCCCTCTCAGAGAGCACGGCAAGCTACCAAGAGTATCCTGTTCGCATAGCTGAGCCTGGCAAGCTCCCCATGACGTATTTGATATGCCAAAAACAGTAACACAAGCCTCACAATGGAGACGTTACTGGTGCCTGCTCGAGCAAATCGATGAACAATGGGAGGACAGTGCTACAGTGCCACAGCCTATTATTAATATTGGCATTTCAATTCATTTAAGCAAATGAAAACATGGTCTATCTAACCACTAGACAATGTTAATCCAGAAGTAGTTTCCAGAACTTCTTGGATGTTTTCTTCTTAGTTTCAATGAGTCAGCAAATGCTGACTAGAAGAAACTGTTCTGAAGCTTACAGCACACATTTATAATTCACTGTTAATCCTGATTTCATCTTCTTTCCTACTTTCATTTTCCTTTGGGGCTAATTTTTTTTCTTATTTAAATTTTATTCTAATGTCTATCATGCTGTAAGCCTCTTAAATCCTCTTTGTCATACAGTGGGATATAAAAGACCCCTAAAATCTCTTAATGCATGATTATTCATGATCCAAGTTCCCACAGTTATAAGGCTGTAAACGGAGGCAAAACGTTTTACAATAACAGCCAAGAAAATCACTTCTAAATAGCTTAGGGCAGAGAAACTCAATCTTGGGCTTGTTATACAGGAAACAACATAGAATTTGACTGAAAGGACTCCAGACCCAGCTTGTAGTTAAACTCTGTTAGCTATAGTTTCCTGAAATTAATTTTTCGGGTAAAAATAAAGACAGAATTAATTTACAAGAATGAAAAAAAAAAAAAGAATCCCAGGAAATCGGTAAAACTCCGAGATCATGTGAAGAAATCACTGTGGAGCAGGAAAGAACACCTGCTGCTGGGCTTGTCCTACTCAGCAGGTACCCCCAAACTCCAAAAACTCTTCTTAAAAAAATATTGATTTATTTTGTTTGGGGGGCCACACTCAGCACTGCTCAAGGTTTACTTCTGGCTCTGCGCTCAGCAATTACTCCTGGTGGTACTCAGGGAACTCTATGGGCTACTGGGGATCGAACCTGGGTTGGCTGCATGCAAGGCAAGTGCCAACCCGCTGTGATACTGCTCTGCCTCCAAAACTCCAACAACTCTTTTTTAAAAATTTATTTTAATTTTTTTTTTTTTTGCTTTTTGGGTCATACTTGGCGATGTACTAGGGGTTCCTCCTGGCTCTGCACTCAGGAATTACTCCTGGCGGTGCTCGGGGGACCGTATGGGATGCTGGGAATTGAACCCGGGTCGGCCGCGTGCAAGGCAAATGCCCTCCCCGCTGTGCTATCTCTCCAGCCTCAAAACTCCAACAACTCTTGACAACAGAGGAAAGTCTATGATGACATTTGACTGAGTATGACTCATCTACACCTTGCTGTCACAGTCAGACCATCATTTTTCCTTTTGAATCTTGCTGGGCAGACACTGGATTAGATTCAGACTAAACTCCGAAGATTAGGAAAAATCCCTACACTTTGTGGGAGCCAGAGGGGGCCTTTTTTTTGGATGCAAAAGCAAAAGCACGTAGAGGGCACACAACTAACCGGAACTAACCAGAAAGTTCCAACGTCCCTTTAGGACTGCAATGGATTAAGAAGAAAATTCTGTAGTGTAAGAAAAATAAATTTGAGATTTATATCCTGTAGTTACTGGTTTTGTTTTAAAGTAAAATAGTTGCTCAGATAGAGAAGGGAGCACCAAATAAAGGGTGTTGGGAGGATCCTCCCAGGGTGGGAGAAGCATGCTGAAAGTAGACTATAGACCGAACATGATTGCCACTCAATGCCTCTTTTGCAAACCACAGCACCCAAAAGGAGAGAGAGAACAAAGGGGAATGCCCTGCCACAGAGGCAGGGTGGGATGGGGGGCGGGGGAGGGATACTGGGATCTGTGGTGATGGAGAATGGGCACTGGTAGGGGGATGGGTACTCGATCACTGTACGACTGAAACCCAAGCACAAAAATTTGTAAGTCTACAACTGTACCTCATGGTGTTTCACTAATAAAAATTAAAAATAAATAAATAAAGTAAGTAAAAGTAAAGTAAAGGCCCTCCCGTTGATCGTTGATTTGCTCGAGCGGGCCCAGTAACGTCTCCATTGGAGACTTTGTTGTTACTGTGTCTGGCATATCGAATACTCTCGGCAGCTTGCTGGGCTCTCCGAGAGGGGCGGAGGAATCGAACTCGGGTCGGCCATGTTGGCCGCTTGTAAGGCGAACGCCCTACCCACTGTGCTATCGAATGGAAAAGGAAAAAAATTAAAAGCCGTTTAAGCTTATCCTTGTATAATGTGACTATGGAAACTCTCACCCTAAAATTTATATACAGCTGAAATATGGAGCAGATAAATGTCCAGAATTGGAATTATTGGAAAGAAATAAGTGGATGAGACAACTCCAAAGGGGGAAAAAAAAATAAAGTAAAATAGTTTTTATTTGAAGAAATTTGAAAAGAGAAGGGGAGTGTGTGTGTGTGTGTGTGTGAGAGAGAGAGAGAGAGAGAGAGAGAGAGAGAGAGAGAGAGAGAGAGAGAGAGAAACACAAAGAGAGAGACAGAGAGAGTAGTCTTAGTAAAATGTCTGTACAAATTACAGAATATCAAGATCCGGCTCTTCATAGTTTACTTAGAAAACCAATCCTTCACACCACAGCATAGCACCACTCTGATAATTTGGTCAGTCTGTTTCCAGGAAGAAACTGCAATGGCCTGACCCTGTAAAAGCACAGCCTGGCTGTCAGGCCCACATCCCTGTCCCGGGCCCTGCGGCCAGTGGGGACTAAACGCTCTTCAACGTGACGCATTCGCACGATCAAACTGAATTCTCTCCATGATTCAAGGATCACAGTCATTTTATAGGTTTAAAAACAACAGAAAACCAAGGTTCAGAGAGCAGAAGGAATTTCTTTGGGTCACTGCCACCAGAAAAATGGCCCAGCAGGGTCTGAAGTGGGGCCCGTGTGTCCCCAGAGTTCATGCGGTGTCTGCTGGTTGTTGTGCTCTTTGGGAGCAAGGCGCATGGGAAAGGACCGTGGCCAACGGGCTTCCC